AAATCTTAAATGTAGGAACCTTGTTTTTTTCGGCCCGCCTTCAATTTTTTCCGCTCGCTCGCATTGGATTAGAGTCTGCGGAGGATGTCAACAATAAAATTTACTTCCTGTGGCCTTATGCAAACAATTGGAAGTAATACCATTAAATTTCCTTCCTTTTTCTACCATTTTCTTATTTAGGTACGGAGTATTATGAAGAATGTTTCTGCGGTACCCATGAAGACTTCGTCCGGAACTTGGAGGGAAAAGAAGTCCTGTACGAGTCATGTGACACGCCGTGCGTGGGAGACGGCCCGGACATCACCACCATGTGCGGGGGCGCCTGGAAACTGTCCGTCTTTTATGGTAATTTATACTCATTAGCATAAATTATGCAAGAAATTGACGGTGCGTTCATTGATTGTCAGCATGTTAACTGTGAAACTGTCTTTAATGGTAATCATAATTTGTTTTTATTAGCATAAATTATGCAATTGATGGTTGTGAACATGTTTACTTTGGTCCGCATTTTATGGTAATTCGCAAAAATTTTGCAAATAGTTGATGATACATGTCGACTGTATACATTTTTATGCATACAATTTACATACATACATGCATACATATAAAATAAAAAATATATACTAAAATGAAATATAAGATATGCTTATAATGTTAAAACTATTTTTTTCTTTGCAGTCGGCATGTGAACCAGAAAAGGTGACTCTCGTCTTTCTACACCTCTTATCTTTAGCATGTATGTTATGACATACAATTATTATACGCGCTTATATGTTTATACAGTCTGACAATAATATATAGACCGTTATCTGTGCCCTCGTTTACCAAAGCAGTTTTAAATACCGCTAGATGTTCTAATTTGCAAAGGTTATGTGTGACAGGTTGTTCAGCTGTCACCGAGCCGCGTGCCTATGTAGCTAGTGCGTTACCCCGAATGGCGGTTATATTTTCTACTATACCGGTTATACAGATACAGAAGGTGGTGTGTTACGCCAAATTGCAGTCATACTGGCTATACTGATACAGATACACAGTTTGTTAGATAGTTAGTTGCATAATGATAATATATTTTATAAGAAAGGAACGACTTCCACTCTACAATACTCAAGTTATTGTAGTACAATATTCACCACTCTAAGGAAAAAATGAATTTTTTAACAACTTAGTTCTTGGTAAAAGGCATCGAATGCAATGTCAGAAAGGCAAAACATAAAAAATATATTCTGAATGAGGAAATCTGTCTGATAATGACATATAATGCCATTTCTTAGCTCATTTTTGTCATCGCTTCATATTCGAATCGTTTGAAATAGCCCCAAAATAGTTACGTGGGACATCTCCTTATTTTTAAAATCCATAAGGCCACACCAATCTAATTTGTTGTTTCTCGGATTTTTTGTAGAAAACATATGAAGCGACCGGGCGAAATAAAAAAAAAAACAAGAACAATCTAAGGCACCCCATTATAGCCAGAAATGTTACGATATGAGCCATGAAGTGAACATACCAGGCTGGTTTATGATTAAAACAATAGATTTTGAACTTTTGATGAAACAAAATTGCCTTGTTACACTGAACAACTAGAAAGAAAAGGACTTTCTTCAACCGTTGGGGTTAAAATATGGCTTTCATTGAGCATTTTATAGTTGATGTAGAACAAAAAAATTATTTTTTTTTGCAAATCAGAAAAAAATTGACAGGGCGATCCGAGAAGCAACAAATTAAATTGGTGTGGCCTTTGTACCATACATTAATAGCCAGAACTAGAAGAATTATCTTAAACCTTTGTGTCAACTCATTTTTGTTTGTTCACACACAGGGCAAGTGGCGTGAACTGCGAAGAAAAGTACACTCCGCTTCACCCATATCCAAGCGCCTGACATCTTTATGTATATTTGCATGTCACGAATCTTACATTTGTGTATAACGTTACTAATTTCTAGATTATGATGTACCTCTTAGTAATGTAACAGAACATAAGAGAATTTGTGTTGTTTATTATAATAGGCATGGTACGTGTGAAGTCCCTTGTTATTATTGTTTTAACAATTTTGAAAAAAAAAGAGAAAAAAGTAGATGATACGAGCAAAAAGTATTTTGGAAGTTGACCAAATTTTGCATATGTCATTATTTAGTTTGTTTTTGGTCATTAAAGTCGCATTATGTAACATGGACGATTTAAAAAAAGTCAATCTCTGGTCACTTCTTTTCAAATCAAGTTGAATCAACGTTAACCCTAAACAAATAAGTGCCATTCATAAAGTGAAGGTGCTAAAATACTATGATTTTCTAAGCCCACACCAATTGAATTTGTTGGTTCTCGGATTTTTTTCAGAAAAAATATGAAGCGACAGGGTGGAAAAAAATAAATACATGTCTAGGCATCCTATTATAGCCCTAAATGCTACAATAGGAGCCATGAAGTCAACACAAAAGGCTGGGTTAATATTTAAACAATGAATTTTGAACTTTTAATCAAACCACTGCATTGATAGATGGAAAAACTGTAACAACTAGGAAGAAAATGACTTTCCTCAACTGTTGAGGGCAAAATATGCACATTTTTGAGTTGATTCAGAACCAGAATCTTTTTTTCTTGCAAATCAGAAAAAAATTAAAGAGGCGAATCCGGGAACCAAGAAATCGAATTAGTGTGGCCTAAGGCTGTTTGGAAGCTTGAAACAAAGCTGTCAGCTATGTTTGTTTACATTCTCGTAGTTGGCACCACGTGCACCTCTCGTGGAATGTTTTAGTGCCAACCATAAATGTAAAAGATGTAAGATAATTCCACAAATATGTTCAAAAGTCGAAGTAAAATCACACGACATAATACACGACATAATGTAGCGGGTAAATAAACTGCAGTGTGTATGTATTGTAAAATGTTGTTCGACACGGTGTTGGAAAATAAATGTTGCCATCTCAAATGTGTTCTTGGGTCATTTCCTAATGTCAGATTTACAATGATACCGGTACCCGGAAAAAAATAATTGCATGTTAGAGTTGCAAAATTGGGAGGAAAAGGCTACTTGAGTTAGAGACACACGATTTCTATGTGGAATAGCATTGATCCTTTGTTTTTTCATAAGCAAATGTCAAGAGATATATGTAATTCCATTCAATTGTTTTTTTTTACATTAAAACACGAAATTTTCAAATTATATTTGTTGCAATACCACCGTACAATTGTTGGAGATATCTTGAAATTTTATTAGATTGTTTATTATTTATTACTGTTTGTTTATTTATTGTTTTGCACTTAGGAATAAAATAAAATGTAACAATTGAAAGATAAATAGACATGTAGTGGAGGGCCGGAAACCTGGTGGTTTATCTTTGGCCCTCTCCAATTTTTGTCTTTTACAAAAATTTGGTACGGGGTCCCTAATTTGTGGAATCCATTGGAATCTTTATTTTGATTTCGAATATGGAAGTATGGTTTTCGTTGGCTGAGCCATGGGTTTGTTTTGTTTATTTGCTTGGACAGAGTAGATTACAAGCAAGTGCGTGAAAAAAGATTGACGTGTTAGATTGAAAGACGATCAAAAGGTGAAACTCAGGAAATGGTAAGAACTTGGTTGATAGTACATGCATGGCCAGGGGAAAGATTGACATGCAGAATGGTAGGTCAAAAGGTCTAATTTGTCACGTCACAGACCAGATACACATAATAAAGGTTTGTACTTCATAAGACAAGGTCAAATGTGTGAGATGATCACAACAAAAGGGTGAACTCTATATTAATTATAAGTGGGTCAGTGGAAGACATCGTCAGAGAAGCTGCCGGGTACCTGCCGGGTGCCTGCCGGGTGCCTGCCGCAGACTAACCAATAAAGGTGACAAAATGCCACTGAAGGAAACTTTTAATTGACCACAACAACCGGTGCCCGCCAGGCTCCAGAGCCCGACCGAAACTGACCGGGGCTACATCCCCGACGGCCACGGAGTGACGGACGTAATTGGGACCGAAGCTTTAGGTTTTGACGATGGCATCCTGCTGGAGAGGATTGACGAAGAACCAAACAAACGGGTGGTGTGCTAGTGTTTTTTTTAAGATGCTAAAAATCAAAGCTCAGCAAAAACCGACCCTTTAATGCCCTCTATATATTCATAGTTGAATCTAGAATTTCTTCTTTTGCAGACTGGGAGTAGCCTCTATATAGCGCATATATAGTAGTGATAGTGCAAAGAAATTGTATGTAAAGTATGAACTCGCATGTATCCATATGTGCATACATGGTCTTTACTAGTCTGGTGTAGTTTAGAGAATATTTGATGTTTTCAGTTTTGTATTTGCATTTTTGACGATTCGAGGAATGATTCATTGATACCTGCAGCAACCCCCTGTTTTTTTAAGGAGATATAAAAAAATGCATAAAAGTGAACTCTATAGCTACGATCCGTACTTCAGTAGAAAGTCCTGGTGGTAATATTATCTCTTAGCCTCATGGACTGTATGCAGATTTAGATTTTTATGTAGATACCTATGGGGTCATGAATTGATGTTACGCAATAGTGATGTACAAGTGGACTTCTATCACGTGGTGACCACGGGCGGGGCACGACCTGTCTTAGCCAATCACAGTGTAAACTCGATCCGCCCTAACCAATCGCAATGCAGATCTACACGTGCTCCTAAATTTGCCGCGTCTTTCAGAATTTCTCGGCCCACTCGAACGAACCACGGTAGCGACCGGTCGGAACCTTTTCGTAATACGAAAATACGTAGAACTACTCTAAACAGAGCCTGCATGGTAGGCACAGCATGAGTTTCTTTCCACACATATTAAGGTACCATATTACCATATTCAAATCATCAGCATTTACAAAATGGACGTTTTCCGATGGGACGATTCAGGCTCAATTTTTCGCTTGATAAAAAACCGATTGTCCGTTAAATAATGCTTATTGGAGTCGCCATTAAAACCAAAAGACCCACATCTCCTGTGAAATTTGTGAAGCATTTATCCGTGAATAGCAATTGATATTTAGCTGTTTCTGAGAATCCTATTGGTACTCACGTGGTCATTGCACGACGTGCTATAAAAGAGCGAGGCGCTACGAATGTTTTGTCTCCACATTTGACTTTGGCGTCCGGCAGGCAGGTTAGTACTGAACATGCTTGTAGTTGTTTTGAAAATGTCTAATTTCGAGAAAGAATATTCGTGTTGGGAGATCAAGAACATATTGCCACGTTTTCATAGTTTCGTCTTTTCTTTACTAACATTGAAGTAACAAGTGTAATGGTGTTTCCACGTCGATTCTTATTTATAACGATAAACGCACAAAGCTGTTCAACCTTCTCTCCGCTTGCTCAACAGAATTTTTTTACATTTCATGCTATAGATAAATTTAAATTCATCCTAGAAGGTAATAGCCCTTACTGTGTACAAATACGTAAATATGCCAAAGAATGTTTAGACCTAAGAACAAGTAGTATTAGTTGACTCATCTATTGTTTTGTACGTAGGTTAATTTTGTTCTACCCATGTATATGTCTGTATGTCTACATGCAATTTTAGACCTTACTAAAGTCGCTTTACTTTTGTTGCGTCAATACAGTTCATATTATCAATTACTAGCTTACGATGCCGTGAATACCGCGAATGCCGTAAATCTTCTAACAAGGTGACTCTACTTTTTTTCAGAAGGCATGATGTTCGTGTTTAAGCTGATTCCAGCGGTCCTGGTGGTTGTCGCCGCTAGTTCCATTCAAGGCGCACCGTATGGTCCTCCCCCGTCTGACGATGCCGGTCCACCTCCAGAAGTCATGGCGTTGTTCGCGGAAGCCATGGCCAAAGGGATGTCCGGGGAAGAAGCGGCCGCCTACGTTCAACAGAAGATGATGGAGGCAATGGGTGTAGATCCGTCTGTGCTGGGCCCTCCACCTTCCAAACGTAAACAGAAGAAATCTGACGATGAAGCTCCACCTCCAGAAGTCATGGCGTTGTTCGCGGAAGCCATGGCCAAAGGGATGTCCGGGGAAGAAGCGGCCGCCTACGTTCAACAGAAGATGATGGAGGCAATGGGTGTAGATCCGTCTGTGCTGGGCCCTCCACCTTCCAAACAGAAGAAATCACATTAAGAAGGAAGTAAGATGAGTTGCAAAGATCGTCTTACATCTTACTATGATAGCGTATGGCTGCATGATGCCCTGTTTTCAAGTCATAAGTTAAATTTTAGAATTGAGAACTTATATTATGGTCTCTAGTAGGAAATCCAAGTCGAGTGTAACCTTTTATAATTCTTTGTACAGTTGTTGTGTTTCTTAATTAATGTCACCTATGATGAAGGACCCGGGAAACCATGTACGGAGTCTATGCTGTTCTGAACCTCTCGCAGTCAGTGTAAAACCTGATGAACGTGAACATTTGCAAAGTAGCAGAAAAAAAAACTACATGTTTGTTTCGTCGAAATTCGTGGAAAATTGTAGCAGTCAAGCGATCTAACGAATGGCTGGTAATGATGATGATTTACGTTATGTTTAGTTCTTTTTTTAGTGATAATAAAATGCACATGTGCAAGATCCAGAATTTGGTATACGTTTGAGTCACATCTTTGACCTAGTACGTGTATGCTACTGGAATTACTGTATAAATGGTAGATTATGGATGCGAATGGATGGATGGATAGATGGATGGATGGATGGATGAATGGGTGGATGAGTGGATGGATGGGTGGATGGATGGATGGATGGATGGATGGATGGATGGATGGATGGATAGATAGATGGATGGATGGATGGATGGATGGATGGGTGGGTGGTTGGTTTTTACGGATGGATGGAAGGATGGATGGATGGGTGGATGGATGGATGGATTTGTTGGATAGGGATATTAAGTGAATAGGTTTTTCAGTAATTTGACTTTGAGGATAAAGCAGGCTGCACGATAAACAACAAAAGCCACTCTAAAAGTTTGCTATTTTCATGGCACAATTATAATTGTGATTATGATTATAATTAGCGCTCTGCACTGAAGATGAAGAAAAAATAGGGCTCGCATGCCTAAATCGATTACTTCTGGTTTCTTTGTCATATTCTTCGTTTTATTGAATGAATGAATGAATGAATGAATGAATGAAAGACCTTTATTGTACGTTTCTGCTCTAACAAGCTACGTACAGCTCATGAATACAGAGAGAAAAAGAATACAGCAATAAAACTTAAACTATACATACTAATGTGGTCTACTATTTACAGGTTCAACTTCTTCTCGCTTCTTGACGCAGTTAAAGATGTACGAAGATATTGAGCTAATGATACATGGTTTGTCAAGTTTCATGAGGAATTCGAATTTTTCTATTCTGTCTAAATGTCTAAAGCTTGGGAACCTATCACACAAATATAGAGGGAATCCCTCTCATTTCTATAATGTGCAATCAACTACAAAATGGCATTATATTTAATATTAATATTTATTATTTACCATAAAGTGTCTTGTTTTGTGTGCACAAAAAACCCAATAACAATGATTCATCAATTGGGTGGCGGTATGCCTGTCTATTGAGCATATATTAATATTGTGTTTGCGATTGGTTCGTTGGTTCCATAGCTTATTAAGAAACCTATGCAATCATAACTAAATCGGCAGATTCATACTATCCGAACACTTATATATAGCAAGCGGAACTTATAAAAACTGAAACAACTTTAATGTAAAAATGCATGGCTGTTCATAGTTCCCCATGCCTATCTCACATACAAAGTATGAGCCGATTTGGCCGACCCCCATCTTCCGACCTCTGCCTAGTTTTGCCTGGTTTTCTCGTGCAATGACTCTTCAGACAAAGTCTGGAAACCCCGAATAATATCGAGCCATTCAGCTGGCGTGTTAAGCCAAAGGGCGGTTATACATTTTTACAGAAGAACTTTATTGCACGACAATTGCACATGATACAATGTATGGCAAACTACATAAAGAGAGTAACAACAATAATTAAGTGTGTTGAATAAGACTTAATGTCGAATAAAACCTAACATATCTATATCATAATTATTCAAATAATAAGGGATAGCACAAGTCTTTGATAAAGTGTTACAATCGAGTGGGCTAATCACAAATTTCGGTATTTTTTCTAATAGCAAAGCATTGCTTTATATAATATCTACCTATTTTTGCGTTGTGGGGACCATTACATGTAAAGATATATTCAAATCTGTCTCCAACATCGAGACTCTTGAAATCTATAGTACTTCGAGAAATGTAAATAGCTTGTTACGTATAACAACAAAATTATACATGTGTACCAGATGTACAAATATAGACACATACCCATTTTTAAAAGATTCTTCCAGACAGCATCATTCAACATAGACGGACAACCTCCCATGTCTTCCTTTTGACAGACAATAATTTCTTGTAAAATAAACCAACTTCAAAATAAGTTAAAGACCTGAATATTGCAATGTTGTGGAATAAAACCTACGAACAGCATATTGCATAATTCTAGTTCTGAATACTTTTATGACATAATAGCCATTGGAACAGGTGCAGACAACTTAAACATAGACTCTGAAGAAAATAGAGGTTATAAGCCTTCATTTGGTGTACAATAAGCTTATATTTTGTGTGCTATACGGTCTCAGACTGAACTATGAATATGTAATGAAATATATATTCACATCTCATCGCAATATCTTATAGGTTTTTCAATGGAAATTATTAATAACCCAAATGATGTGGTATCAGATGTATTCTATATTTGATACATCATATTCAATATTTGATACTGTTTTATAATAATTGTCAACAGATATCATTTTCTTCACTTTCACCTGCATTTTTGGTGCATTTTGGTTTTTTTCGTGTGCAAAGGGTACCATAATATCATTTAGTAGTGTTTTATTACTTTTTGGTGTAGTTTGGTTTTTCTGATGCACAAAGGGTATCAGATCATCCATAGAGTTTGCAGAAAAGCACTGTAGTTCCTGTGGTTACGGTAGGGCACCAGATTCGGAGTGAAAATTTTCACCAATGGCGTTTATAACACAAGTCTAAAAGTTGCATATTAGTTACAAAAGTCATGCACTCTCGTGGACTCTGGTACTTGAAGGCATGGCAATTTCTTGTTCTCTTCTGGGCTGGTATTAGGTACTTAGTAGTTGGGACGTTCACTAGTTTATTAGTCATTTTGTACATCATGCATAGATTTTGAATTGGCGGAAGCATTTTTTCGCCCCACTGCCTGCTTCCGTCCTGTTTATTTGCACATAATTCTTTAATGGCAGCAAATTTCCATATTCATCCATATTTATTCTACCTATTCCATACAGAAATAATTATACAAACGCCTTTTATACTTTACTTGTAGGAAACGTACCCGAAACGTTGTACATATTATACACCTGGTTTTGGATCATAAACTTTGTCTTTGTGTTCAAGTTTTACTGAAACGGTGCTATGAAGCTAAAAAAAAACTGTCACATTTGTTTTTTGTTCTGATATCGTTAATTTTTTGAGCAGGCTATGACAGAACAAACAAGGACCTTTTCTTTAACCAGAAATCGGAAGTTTAGACGACATATGCACGACAACCTTCCGAATGCCTGTAGTTCCTTAGGCCACATCAATTTAATTGTTGGTTCACGGATTCCCCTGCTTCATTTTTCTGATTTGCAAAAAAAAAAAAAAACATTTCAGCCTCTGAATCAACTAAGAATGCTCATATTTTGGTCCCAACGGTTAAAGGTGGTCCCTTCTCTTCAGAGTTGCTACAGTTTTTCTATCTACAAATGCAGCTAGCGTTTTAGTTAAAGGTTTCAAATTTAATGTTTGAATTACAAACTAGCCTGGTATGTTGACTTCATGGCTCCTATCATGCCATTTGGGGCTATCATAGGATGCCTTGGTCTGTTGTCATTTTTAATTTTTTTTCGCCCTGTCGCTTCCTATTTTTTCTTTAAAAAAAATCCCGAGAACCAACAAATCAAATTGGTGTGGCCTTACAAGGAGGAACAAGAATTCGGAGATCTCAAACCTCCATGAAATATATGATTTTTGTAAATGTGTTTACACGGTACACTGCACTACAGTACAGAACATAACAAAATAACACAGTTTTTTGTCCTGAAATACGTCAGGCTGTCAACTCAGTACATGTAGACTATTCCAGAGGGACCTCATCAATCAAACCCGGGTAGGCGCGCTGCCTGACCACACGTGTTTTGCATTAAACCGGCACATCTGTTTTCCCTCAAAATACAAAAGTTCTGCTGCAGTACCAAGGTTAGCAATCAGGAGGTCCATATTTGACCTTGACCTTCTGCTTCCTAAGACCTACCAGCATACGATATATCATCACAATCCATGAAGGCGTTCTGAAGTTATGCTGACTACAAATATTCGGAAACACACACTCAGACACACATACACACACACAGACGCGCCAAAACCAATACCTCCATTTTTCATGGAGGTAATAACAGGTCACCATGTAACAAGATTGACCTACTTACGTACCGATACACAGTAATCGTCGGAACACGTAATGATGTGGTCGGATGTATGTGGGTAATTGAGCATCGTAAAAACGTTGCTCATACATAGGCAGTTTTACTTCGTATCAGCCTTTAGGGTTTTTAGCTTGAGTCACGTCGTCTACCCAAGCAAAATTGAGAGGAGCTCGGGTTCAGGTAGGCGTTTTCCGTTGTAAATATAAAATAATATTCATTGTTATAGCATGAAAGTTCATCTGTGTCAACTTGGTACAAGTCATTATGAAATAAAGACTAAGCTTAAACTTCCAAAACTTAGACTACTGAAATTGAAACCCCAAATTTTCGGTTGACTCCATCAACCTTGCAACTCTTGCAACCTAAAATTGAACGCGTAGATATTTTATGTTTTGAATGCTTTCAATATAATACGTAGATGTTTTATTTTTGGATAAACTTATAAGCTGAACAAATAACTTTGGTACTATAAGCAACAAGAAGCTAGGCAAGGAAGACCAGAGTGACTGGTCGAAAGCTCTAGTCTAGGTGAGAGAATTTTTGTGTTGGATCAAAAGTTTTAACTTTAAACAAGAGGCTAGGGAGCATGTAAAAGCCATGTTTTCTGTAGTATGGCCACAGCAATAATTTTTATGGATGATAGGATGACATCAGCGCACGAGTGCATTGAATTCGAAAAAAAGAGAAATTTTCTTGCCCTTGGACGGAGGTCAATTTGCCAAAAATATATCGCAAACGTCTCACGTTTCAGATACCATCAGGGATTCAGCAAACTTGAGACAATTCTGCTGGCGTTTAATGGCAAGTGCAACTCGAAGTTGTTCCATTGCATATATTAATATCCAGTGTAGTAGCTGCCCATGATGGTACAACAAGCCGTTTTGTAAATTGTTTTTTTTTATTCATTTGGCTTACAAAGAAGCCAGGGTGTCCCAACTAGTCAAGGACTATTACTAAGGGACACCCTGGGGGGAAAAATGGAAATTATTAGACATACATATAATGCATATTACAATTTAGAAAATACATGCTTAGTGAAATATATAAATCATGTACAATGGTACAATAATATCATCATCATCATCATTACAATAATATACATACATTTTAAAACTACAATAATACTGGTCCTGGTATATACATGGTTGCTGAGGTATAAAAATGCACTATGTATTAATTATGTATATGTTTATATTATGTTATAGTTAATTGAGCCTCTACACACCTACAAGGACAGATAATACAGTAACTGTTGAATACAAAAATACAAGGTTTATACCCTCAAAATATATGAAAATTAAGGAATCTGCGGAGGATGCCATCCATAACATGTAATTGTTCTGGCCTATGATTAATTTATTGGCTCTATAGTTCTCTATATTTGAATTTGTCCCATCCAAAATCTTGTTGTAGGTATGATATGTGAGTTTATCCTTTTCTTTTATTAGTACCACAACGAAGATGTCTGTCTTGAAGCTTGTCCTGTTGGTACTTGTTCTGGTCGCTGTGGTGAAAGAGCAGGGAGGCAAAGCTGCCGATGTTGGCGGAAGAGCTGTAGGAGAAGCGCGGCAGGCTTCATCCAAGACCCGGGCACTCGTCTCAGAATCGGACCCGATGGCACTTGAACGCGTGAAGCGCCAGCGAAGAGGCCTGAGGTCCTGGTTTTGCGAGAAACTCTCTGACAAGAAAAGGTATCACAAATGTTAATTTTTAAAGGTATCCAAAGCAATTTCAAAGGTGGCAAATCTGTCTAATATTGACATTTACGTCCATTTCTAATTATATTTTTGTCATTATTTCATACTTTTAAAAAGCGTTTGAAATAGCCCCGAAAACAAATCTAAGTGAGGCCTCCTCGTTATTTTTGGTACCACCAATAAATAAATAAAAGCATCCTGTATACGATACAAAACAAGAAACCGTTTTCAATGAAAGATATAGCATTTTTTGCCCTACATATGTTATTTTTTGCCCTACATATGATATAGGGTTGATTCAACTTACTACATTAAGATGATGACCAAACATGGACTTTGCGAATTCAGTTTAAAAAACCAGAAATTGCATTTGGTGTTTTTGACCTTTATGGTGATGTGTGTCGATTTTATATTTTGCATGCCTCCATGTACAAGTTTTAACGAATAGCAAAACACTTCCCAGTTCGTCTATCTACAAAAAAGCAACCCACCATGGTCATTTCATATTTTTAGATATTGTAAATTTCATCTTGTGCCATACGCGTGCTCCTTTTTCATGTAATCTGGTATATTTTATGTCTTAATTTTGTGTAAACTGAACTCTGTAAGACTAGACATAATGCTCAAGGTATCTTTGAAAGAGAATAAAGAGAGAAATAAAGAAAAGGCCACAGCAAGTAAATTTTATGGATGACATCCTCTGTAGAATCGAAATCTCATGCGATAGGGCGAAAAAAAACAAGATTCTTACATTTTCAAATTTTGACATCATAAACCTTGAACAAGAAATGATACCTGTATTGTGCTAAATGCCAACTATTTCAACATCCGGATCCATTTCACCATATACAGCCACCATCTCATACAAAAGGAGCAAAATACATCACTGCATCAAAGGAAAAGACAAAACATTAATTCAGAGCCTTTTCTTGTCTCCTCTCTTCATATTTATCTGCCATCCACGTTCCAGCATGGCAACAGACATCATTGCCCATTTTCGGCAAGTTTTATTTAATCAGGCACAAATTAATACGCGCTGATGTCATCTTAAAAAAAAATTTCTTGCTGTTGCCTTAATACACAACACAGAAATACTACTGGCGAAGTTTGTCTCCTAAAGCTACCTATGTCAGACACTTTGCCTGTGCTTGATCTCTTTGTCAGGCCCAATAACAAAAGAGGAGTGAAGGACAAGATGTGGCAGACCTTCTGTGCTCCTGACGTTGCAGCCGCCATGTAGGACAGGTAAGACACATGATTGCAGCCATCCTGACTCTTGTTTCTATTTATGTTTACCGAAGGAAACATATTGTTTTTGCTCTGTTTCTTCCTCTTCTTCTTCTCCAAACAGTGACCTCTGATGACCTGACCAATGACATGATTTTTTTAAATTTGCCAGCATGGTTTTGGGTTACATAATGTTGCAATTTCATGGTCTGCTCTGCTCCTGTCACCATATACTACTAGTACAAGTAGTACAACTTTGTGAATAATGTGTTTTAATAAGAATTAACAAATTTGAAAATGTTACTTTTCTAGTTTGTACGTGCGTCACGGCTCTTGTGGCTAGAGTTGTTGACTCGAAGAATACGAAGGTTCCATTGAACACCTCTAGCCTTCATAACATGCCAAAAACTGGGGGTTTTGGGAGTCTTCAGGGTCTTTGGGAGCTTTTATGTGCTATTTTCTGATTGCATACAGACAACATAGCCGGCCTGGTTGAATTACCCCCGTTTTTTAATAATCAGAAAACAGCCGAAGACCACCAAACCCCGTCAGTTTTCGTGTTGGACAACAGTTTAATTTTTACTTTGTGTTTTACCAACTCAGATGAACTTTCCTGCTAGAAAATAACAAAACAAATCTATTTATAACAAGTCTATTTCATGTTACATTCCAGTGGCCAGGATTTCAGTTTGGAGCGAGGACATTGCAGTTGGACGGTGGTCTTCACAGACGACGTCATGCACAGAAGACAACAGTCCGCTAATAAGACTAAACGAAACGCGTTTGTTACAATGTTAGAAACTATGTTTAAGATTATAGATATTTCTCATTAAGAGCATTTTGAATGGCTTTGAATATCATAGTGTGTTTTACTTGCATTCTTTAAACTTTTCTTAATTCAGTTTGTCGATAAAATAATACCATTAATGAACGGTCTGTATTACACTATCACTATTTCATAGATTGAGGCTATCCGAGTATAATTGGTATAACATACGTTTATATGATATTCATATTATTGATATTGTATCATATATGTTGGTTAGTAAATTTGATTTTCCGTTACCTTGATACCATTTAGAAAAGATCTACGTAGGATTTCATTCTAAATGATATGAATTTCAAAGCTCAATGTCGTACATAGTATGTTTGTAGAAAGAAATTGATGTGTACAATTTGTTATGGGCTACAAACCTAGTGTTAGGTGTGTTTTTATGCATAGAAAGTTTGTAGTGAACGTGTACTATTGGTGATTCTATATTTAGAGAGTTTGATATGACGAGAGTGAGCCTTGAAACAGGAAAGATAGAATGAAGAACGACAAGGGAAAACGCCCTATAGCATTCTCATTGATATGTGATGTTAATAAGTGTAAGTCAATACGTTTCTGTATGGAAATATTGTTTTAGGTGGCTATGATGTGGGTGCTTTTTTTCGGTCGGAGCACTTTCACAGTACATGGGAGGAGAGAATATGATATCAAATTCATTTTTTTGGAGTCAACTACAATTTCCTATTAAAATAATTGGTTTGTGGCGTTGAATCTAAGCGTAAGAAATGTACGTGTCAAGACCTCTAGTACTAATGCCATACAACACAAAATCATATGAATGGTATTACAATGGATTTCAGTCTTATTTGTCATTGAATGTAGTAATTTGTCTTTTACGTGACAGCTAGTCTTGGTGTAATCGGTGATGGTAACAATTATGGATTTTTATGTAGATACCTATGGGGTCATGAATTGATGTTGCGCAACACAGTGATGTACAAGTAGACTTCTATCACGTGGTGAGCACGGGCGGGGCACGACCTGTCTTAGCCAATCACAGTGTAAACTCGATCCGCCCTAACCAATCGCAGTGCAGATCTACACCCGTCGTGCTCGTAAATTTTCCGCGTCTTTCAGAATTTCTCGGCCCACTCGAACGAACCACGGTAGCGATCGGACGGAAAAAGTGTACCCTGGTAATAAGGACGTTTGATTTGAAACGCTCTGGCAATAAGTATTGATGGTACAATCGGAAGGGAAGGTTAAGTACTAGTGAGTGACATCTTTTAGAAACGTCTTCATGTTCAATGGCATTCATTTACTCGGGAGTGCCCGATAATTCCTACTACTTGTACCAGGTTGACTACAGAATGTGAGAGTCTGTTCTTAAGCCCCTGCCACACATTCACAACATTTCCCGACCACCAACCAACCAACCAACCAACCAACCAACCAACCAACCAACCAACCAACCAACCAACCAACCAACCAACTGACCGACCAAGGTTGGCTAAAGGTCGGGTGCAGTCGGGCCACGTCTAACTTTTTATTCGAATCGAGTCGAATTTGAGTTAAATTTGAGTCAATTGTTTTTACCGTATACCAGCCAACCGCAAACCAACCTCCCGTCTACATCCGGATGTTTTAAATATTTGGAAACATTTGGTTGGCGCAGCCAAACAGTAGCGACCTCTCCGAACACCAGCCAACCACAACCGACTGCTCCCGATCTACTCCTAACCATGGTTTTGGGAGGTTGGCAGTGTTCGGGGAGCCATATTCGGCTTTTCGTCAGGGCTCCGCAGGGCGTTACACGCTGTCATTAGGAACCGCTCTATGATGTGCCATTTGATTTGAAAGTACATAAGGCTACGCCAATTCAATTTGTTGCTTCTCGGATTTTTTTCACGAAAAAATAAGAAGCAACAGGGTCAGAAAAACAGGCCAAGGCACCCCATGATATCCGGAAATGGTGCAATATGAGCCATGAAGTCAACATACCAGGCTGGTTTATAATTAAAACAATATATTTTGAACTTGAGATGAAACAAAGTTACATTGATCCATTGAAAAACTTAAACAACTAGGACTTTCTTCAACCGTTCGATCCCAAATATACATTTATTGTGCATTTTGCTGTTGATTTAGAACCTTTTTTTCTTGGAAATCAGAAAAATATGGACAGGGCGAATCCGAGAAACAACAAATTAAATTGGCGTGGCCAAAAGGACAGAGGTTCATTGGTATTCCTTCATGGCCAAGTTCGGGCAATTTTCATTAATGATACTGTAATTACTCCCATACATAATTCAACATCGGAACTAGCTCTGAATGAAACTATAACTAGCTATTGAGATTTTGTTGTTGAGAGATAAAAGACATATAACATTGTGTACTGTCAGCAATGACATGCCAAATTTACCATGATGATATATATAGTAAAGATACCTATAGCATGTACGTAGTGTAGTGAATCGTCTTGACAGATAATGTACCATAGAACAGATCGTTTGCTTTGGCTATGCTACATACATACAAACTACATGCATAGGGGTGAAACGCCGGGGCACTTTGGCGTAACAATGGGGGTAGGACAGTGATAATTGCGACTTGTAATTTTCCCTCTAAAACTTCACGTTTACAAAGAACTCATAACTGTGTCCCATTTACTGGTGTGCTGGTGTACTGGTCGGGTGTAGGTTGTTCGAAGCATAATATCAGGTAAGCAAACCTCTGTTAACGTTTCTACCATTACGTTTTTCATTGAATTCTAGAGCCTTGTATGTTGATACACATTCTCTGTGTAAAAATGATGTACCAATGCCTAGTATGTATGTCACAATTGCACTACGTTCGGAAATGCCTTGTTAACAGTAAAAACTAGCTTTTTATGCACTGTCAACCAAGTAACAGTGCACTGTGAACCATGTAACACTTTTAGTGCACTATGCACCAAGTAACATCTAGCATCAGTGCATAGCAAACCAGTCAGAATTGCCCTGATGAAGATGACAGACGGTCATCGAAATGTCCGAAATCATGAAAAATAAATGGAAAAAAGTGCTATTCAGTCTCTATGTAAAAGTTTGACTTTGGGTTAAACATGTATAATAAGTAATTCACAAAGAATATAAGACCCAAACGGATTTTACAAACGTCTTTTTACACGTCAATGAATTAGACATCCAGGTAATGAGATACACAAGATAACAGTTTTATGATATTAATGCAACAGTGAATAGATTTTCAAAACTGTCTGACGTTTCAATTCCAGTCACCGACGATGCTACTGTATACTAGATGCTACTTGAACGTTAGACAGTTTTCAAAATCTATCCAATTGCTTGAGGATCTGTTTTCTTGTGTAGCCTTTTATAGAAGAACTTTACTGCACGACAGTTGTACATGGTACAATGTATGGAAAAGTACAAACAACAAAAAACAATATAATGTGTTCAATAAGACCTAATGTAGAATAAAACGTAACATATCATAATTACTCAAACAACAAGGGCTAGCACAAGTCTTTGATAAAGTGTTACAATCGAGTGGAGCTAATCACGCATTTCGCAATCTTTTATATATTTACCTATTTTTGCATTGTGGGAATCATTACATGTAAATATGTATTCAAATCTGTCTCTAGCGTCGAGACTCTTGAAATATGTTGTACTTGATTCGAGAAATGTATGTCTTGTCTCTTGGGGCTTGTCCTTCGTAATAGCCTTTGGCTAACAGCTAACCATGGCGGTATGTCTTCATACAATAGAATAATTAAATCAGAAAAAATCTGTAGGTATGTAGATCTTTTGATGTAAAGTATACAGATAAAATCAGATCAGCAGATAGACCGTTCTGTTCTAGGTACTTTGAAGAAGATGGCTGATTTGTCTTCATACAACAGAACATATCAATGAGATAAAATCTGTAGGCATGTAGGTCTGTTGATGTAAAACATACAGATAAAATCAAATCAGCAGATAGACCGTTCTGTTCTATAGGTACTTTGAAGAAGATGGCTGATTTGTCTTCATACAACTGAAGAAATACATCAGATAAAATCTGTAGGCATGTAGGTCTGTTAATGTAAAACATACAGATAAAATCAAATCAGCACAGAGGTCGTTCTGTTCTAGGTATTTCGAAGAAGATGGCTGATTTGAAACTCCTCACGGTTGTCATCATGGCCGCTGCCTTGGTCGCTGCCGGTCACAGAAGGCAGGAGATGGAATCGTCCTGGGGTGCTAAGGCTTCGGACGGTGACGTTCCAGACGAAGAATCTGAGGGGAGCATCATGGACCTCTTCAATTTCTTCGAGGAAATGACCAAGATGTTCGACGCCATGTCACCTGGAGAAGAACAAGAAGGGCACAAGACAGAGACTACTTCAGGTGGAGAGGCAACAGAGGAAGGGACAGGGACGGTGGACATCGCCGTGCCTCATCAGCAAGCTGACAACTATCAGAACCACGAGGAGCAGCCGGGGGCTCTGCACCGTGTGAAGCGACTGCGGCAAAGTCGGTTCCGCAAGGAGCAGGAGATGGAATCGTCCTGGGGTGCTAAGACTTCGGACGGTGACGTCGTTCCAGACGAAGAATCTGAGGGGAGCATCATGGACCTCTTCAATTTCTTCGAGGAAATGAGCAAGATGTTCGACGCCATGTCACCTGGAGAAGAAGAAGAAGGGCATAAGACAGAGAATACTTCAGGTGGGGAGGCAACAGAGGTCGCTACCGGTCACAGAAGGCAGGAGATGGAATCGTCCTGGGGTGCTAAGGCTTCAGACGGTGACGTTCCAGACGAAGAATCTGAGGGGAGCATCATGGACCTCTTCAATTTCTTCGAGGAAATGAGCAAGATGTTCGACGCCATGTCACCTGGAGAAGAAAAAGAAGAGCACACCGCAGAGACTACATCAGGTGGAGAGGCAACAGAGGAAGGGACAGGGACGGTGGACGACGCCGTGCCTCATCAGCCAGCTGACAAGTATCAGGACCACGAGGAGCAGCCGGGGGCGCTACAGCGTGTGAAGCGACTGCACAGTCGGCAAAGTCAGTTCCGCAAACGGGGAGTGAAGCAATGGTTTTGCGGCAAACTGGTGGATTCATCCGAGGAAAGGTCAGACACATAAGCGAATGGAATTTCAGCTATGCATGTAATAGTATGCAAAAGTACCATTAAACAAAGCTATACCAGGGAGCATGGGTGCATGGGGCGTAGATTTCCCAAACAGGGGACCTCCATTTAACGTCCTATCCGAGGGACGTGCCCGACCGAAGCTAGGTACTAGTGAAGTAAAGAAAGTGCCTTTCACAAGGGCAAAAGATCGGTAACATCGGGCAGGATTCGAAATCGGGACCCTTTGAGTCTGCACCGAACACTCTACCGTTACTCCACACGACCTCACAGATCTCTCCCGTTTTGTTTTTAACCAGGCCTAGAGGAAAGCGAGGTGTGAGGGAAAAACTCTGGCAGATGTTCTGTATTCCCGGTCCCGCCAGTGCCTCCAGTGCCAGCTCTTCATCGGAAGAATGGTAAGGCCACAGCAAGTCATTTTTCTGGATGACATCATCCGCATACTGCAAATCTAATGCGAGCGGGCAAAAAAACAAGGCGGGCCGAAAAAAAACAAGGTTCCTGCATTTTCAACTTTTAACTCAATCATTGCACAAACGGTTTTGATTCAGTGGGAACATCACATATACACAGCCAGCATCACATATCACTGCATCAAAGTAAGAAACAAAACATTAAATCAGAGCCTTTTCTTGTCTCTCTCTTCATAGTTATCTGCCATCCACCTTTCGGCATGGCAACACACATCTTTGCCCATTTTCGGCATGGTGACCACTGTCAGAAGGCAACAAAATTTCTTGTTTTTTTTTTTCAAAATCAGGCGAAAATTAATGCGCGCGCTGATGTCATCCATAAAAATTACTTGCTGTGGCCTAACTTGTAATAAAACAATTTCTGTCTTTTGACTTCCGGATACGTTTCAGGTGGGAGTTTTGGGTTGGCTGTCTGTTGTATTGTGTTTCTGTTTGTTTAGACATATTTAACAATCAATAATCTTTTACATCCTTAAGCATTGGTGTTTTAACGTTATTTGTTTTTCTTTTTTAATCTCAGGCGTCCGCCAAAGCATGGGTGAAGACTGCATGTAAGGCTGACATGACTGGTTTCAATGTGGTGGCTACATGGGGATGGCAGAGAAGATTTAGACGTAGAAAAATAAACGTTGTTTTTCCAGTTTTCTGTCATGTAAATTAGTGTCGGTAGATACGGATAATCTTTTTGTCGTTGTTGTTGTTGTGTCTTTGTTGTTAGTTTACCCAATAATATACTCCGGAAATATTGCTTCTAAAAAGGCATTAAGTAACGTTTTAGAGGGTTTAAAATGTTTATGACCCTGCCAACGGTCATCCAAAATGCTAGGTAAACTAGAAACATATAATTTTTCCCTGGCCTTACCATGCTATTCAAGTAGCTCTATATTCAAGTAATTGTAGAAACCACGGAAGTGTAAAGTGCTCATGACACCAAAATATGACCTTAGCTGATTGTAATTGACATAATTAGTATTCCGTGGATATAACAGACACATTTACAATAAATATGCACGGTTCTCCTGTTACATTCGCAATTTTAATGCCCTGCCTTGGAAAAGTCAGCACAAGCCAGTCCTGGCAGGCGATTTGCATCTCTACATTTTATTTTCGTATGTCTGTATTTATACAAGCACAGCAATGCAAAAATGAAACATAGATATGCAAATAGAGATGCAGGAAGGCGTTTGGGAAGGTTGCCAGAATGTTTCCAAAAATCCACTTCTAGAAGGCCGTACAAGTTCAATTTCTCAGTCATCATGATTGGATCAAACTTCAAGTGACTATATTGTATGTATACTTCCGATACTTGTATGTATTTTACAGACTTTTTTGGGTGCCATTTGGTCTTTAAACGCCATGCTGATCGTTTTAACGTAAAGCTAGATGAGTGTTTACATCTAATAGACAATATAAGACTATATAAGGAGCGCTAAGTGCTTATATATGTGTCACGTACGTCGAGAAGCTTCTTTATATAAAATGCGATCAAATGCGCTTTTCTGAATGTATGGCAACTTACAATACAATGTAGTGTGACAGCACCCTTGCAATTCGAAAAAAAGATTGATACCGAAGTATTAGATGCCTTGTCGTAAAATTTTTAATAGCATTATTTACAAGATATTGGATAATGCTTATAAGATATTTAGCTATGGATTATATCACAGCATTTGCGTGAAAGACCTCTTATGTACAATGTATATCCTATCAAAAGTAACGACAGCACCAAACGCTCTGACATTTCAAACAATTTAGTAGCTATATACATACATTTGTGTACTGGAAAACGAGGACAGTATCATCTAGGAAGAAACCTAGTCGCTGTACGTATAATCAGAACTCGTAATAAAATGCATCTCCGTATTCATCTGTTTGTGTAAAACTTTATGTTTTGTACGTTATTAAGGAATACTGCTTCTATATTGATCATTGTAAGTGACGAGCAACCTGGGCATAACCTCCGAGCAGAAATTTAGTTTGGATTGTTTCATCGTTTCACATATAGTAGCAAAATCCACTTTTAGGGGTATCATACGGTTAGGAAAAGTTGCGTAAAGTTGCAAGGTGTCATTCGCTTACACCACGATGGATCCTGATATTTTTGTGGTGTGGTGTGATCTTTAACTAGTACTCGAGGCGTGAACGTGGCTGTCTTCAAACATGTTGTCTCCGGCTTTACGTTCCATTTAAGAGGACGTCCCTAACCAAAACTAGTTACTTACTTTATTTAGAAAATACATCTAAACATGGCCAGTGACTACGTACATGAAAAAAACAAACAATGGATAGCAAACAATATAACATATGGCTGCAATGTGGTATAGACTAAATTTCGGCGCTAAATTCTAGCTTATTTGGGTTTAAAGTGCACTTTCCAATGCAAAAATTTTGGAACCTCCAAGGGATTCGAACCCAGACCCTTTAGATTCTAAATCAACAAGACCATCTTGCCAGCTGGAAGAATATTACAAAATTCAATAGAACACAGAATACAATTACTACGAAATTATGGCACGTTATAGGCAACATATTACATATCGTTGGGGTTGCATAACCTTGAAATCTCAAAAACTTAGAAGGTAAAAATAATACATACCACATCCTACATACCAGAAGTCTACTTCCCATGTACAAAACAATATATATACATACATTCCAAGCAAGACATTTCCTTGACAAATTTGTTTTCTGGAAGCTCTGTTGAAACCCAACTTGCTAAAATAAGAAACTAGTACATGGCATTCACAGAAGACATGTCAACACAAAAACTTTGAAAACTTTCTTTTTGTCATTAGAATTATGTAAAATCATGTGTAACAGAGGGCTGATGATGGACTTCAGAGACAATTGATTGCGAGTTACACTAACACGGTGGTAAAATCTGGGCTGCAAAGTTCCCACATGTCATAGAACCCGAACTAAGTTCGATCGTGTTCGATCTGGGCAATTCGAATCGAACCCGCGTTCCATTTCGGGGTCACCTGCGGTCATTTACAATAAAGCGGCAAAACAAGCCTTTCTGCCCCCGTGCCTTGCAACAGATAAAAAAAACAACACTTTTCTATAGATACAAACAGTTTCCAGGACAGTACATGTCCGCTATCATTGTTTGTGGATCTGTAACATGTAGCGAAGCTACTGTCGTATCCTTGGGTGACCTTGAATACTGTAATGATTCTTTACACCAGTGTGAATAACACAATGCAGACTTTTGGTCGATCACATGACATGTCTGCAAAACTCGTTTTAACCTGCAAGCATGGAGAGTCAAACATACCCCATTCACGGCTCAAAATGACCGTAACGGTTGTCCCGAAAATCGAGTTTTAGGGATTTTTGAAAAATGGCCTCAATTTTGAATTATGGGTAATTTAGTGCGAAAAATGTAAAAAAAAATCATTTTTTCACCATTATGTCGACAAAAACTAGACTTCAAATCAGAAATTAAAAAATCCCTAAAACACGATTTTTGATCTAATTCCTAGTCGTCGAAAAATATAAAAATCGGGGATCTGGGGTGATATACTTAGCCAGGTTAAAACGATGTTTGCCTAAAAACATGGCATGACTTGTGGTCGAAAACCCGAAAAAAATCGTCTTTCGGAGCGAAATTTTGAAAAATTAATGATTTGACATAAACAGCTTATATTAAACGGATGTTAACGCAACATATGTCGCGCGGCACATACAGTACCATCTATATAACACCCTGTATAGGTACGATTTGGGGGTATTTCTCGTGCAACGCATCACACCGCAGCGAAACGCAACGAATGCGGAAGTAACTATGCCACTGCAGGGCAAAAAAAATTGGGGGGCTATGATCTAATTAAGACATGAAATTATTGAAAAATATTGTGCCAGGAATGCCAGCAGGACAAGGGTTAAGGCAATAATTTCATTTTAATTTGACGAAATTTACCATTAAATCCTTTTTGTTTATTTTCACGTATTTTACTGGTAGTCCAGAACAGGCCAAAATAGCGTGTTGTAACCCGATACCTTTTAGAACGCGCCTAGCAATGGGAAAGAATACTGTAGTGACAGACCGCCGTGTAATAATTAAACATGAAAAGATAGATCGAGACTTATCCAATTTTTTTCCAATTAAACGTCATTTTCCCCGAAACGGGGGTTAGACGTGCTTGCATCAAATGCAAGTCTTTTTTTTAGCAAGCTTTTTACGGCTGGATGGCCTTCCTTAACGCCAACCCAAACCCTAGTAGGGCCCAGGATCCCTCTAACTGAGGGGGGAAATACGTGTTTTAAAGATGCCTTTCCCAAGGGCACAACATCTGGGTGCATGTCTGAGTCCAACCTTGAGGATTGAACCTGGGTCTCCTTGCTTGACAGTCGAATGCTCTACCACTATACCACACAGACGTATGTTCTATCAAAAAAATTCAAAAGCCATTTACATGTATATACTCAAGAAAGCATTTACTTAAATAAACTGTAGCACCCAGTAATGCTAAAAAAAACAGCGGATGCTACTTCTAACGTCCGACAGTTTTCAAAATCTATCCAGTTGCTTGAATAACTGTTTTTTAAGTACATTGATGCCTGACCTTAGTCGCCTGTTACTAGTATATATTTTTTATACCGTTGCCTGTAAGAATTTCTATTCCAACTTTTCATGACTAGACATGGTCAGAGCACACTTAAGTTATACCAACTTATTTTATGCCGCCACCAACGCAGAGGACGAATACGGGACAGGACAATACTCATGAAAGTCGTGTAAAGTGCCTTTCTCAAGGGCATACAAGATCGGTGGCATGTCAGGACTCGAACCCGGGACCTCTTGGTTCCGAGTCGAGCTCGCCACACGACCCCACTGTAAGCATCATTGCAATCGTGACTGCACTACCAAACAGTCTACTCCAAGGGCGTGTCCAGAAAGTATATATCCAGTCAGCATGGCGTCTAGGTGGACCTACTTCGGGATCGCCGTGTTGCTGTTACTCGTGACATTGACGGTGAACGGCAATGGAGATGACACCGAAAGAGTGGCGAAGACGTTGGAACGTTCGCACCTCAAGCATCTCCAGCAAAAGCGACTGAAGGACGCATCTGTTCATCGCAATAGAAAAGGTTTGAGACACTAAATCATACGCTTTTGTAGGCAACTATTACTTCGTTTTCAAAGGCATCCAATGTAATTTTAGGACGTCAAAACAAAATACATTTTGGATGAAGGAATCTGTATGATATTGACATTTACTGACATTTCTATGCAGATTTTCGTCATCTTTTTATGCATGAAGCGTTTGAAGCCCCAAAACGAGCAAAGTTAGGCGTCTGTTTATTTGTAGGTACCGTCCGTTTATATATGCATAAATACGCATTCAGGCATAACTAACACAACTTCTAACACATCAACCAACACTAGTACTAACACATAATCTGTATCTACTGCAATAACAATATATAACGCGTTCTTCAGCTGAAATTCTTTTTTCTTTTCATTTCAAGACAAGCTTGAGAAACAGTTCGAAGAAAAACGCAACCAGGAAGGATGGCCAACCCGTCTTGGGAGGAAGGCGTCTTTTCAAGAGAACGATGACTATCTCGTGAGGGGTAAGATTTTCATTCATGAGAAATAAATACGACAACCTTTTTTTTTTATTCCAACATGTAATCAGAAGACGTGGTGACGGCGAACTCACACGAAGTGAGGAAAGTCGTGTATAGTGCCTTTCCCAAGGGCACAAGATCGGTGGCATGTCAGGACGGCGAATTCGCGACCTCTTGCTTCCGGGTCAAGCACTCTGCCGCTACGCCACACGACCCCACAACCTTGACTGAATTTGAGTACAGAAAACGTTTGAAAGTTTCTGGAGTACATGACAGATTGCAGATGTGCTATAGATATCATTATCAACATCAACAACAAGCATATGAATGATTGAAATTCTATCTTGTATAAATCTGCTTCATGATTGTTGTAATAACACTGTAAAACCTATATAGTTGTTTGAGCAACTGTTACCTTTTATCTCATTGTGTGGAAGCCTAACTTCATCGAGGTACGAACTAGTGTTACGCCCTTGTTACAATCTTCCCCCAACCACCAACCAACCAAGGTTGGCTGAACTTCAGGAGCGATCTAACTTGATTTAAACCACGCCTACCTAAGATGATTAGATACGAATCGAATCAAATTTGAGTCAAATGTGACCCCCCCCCCCAAAAACGCCTCGAATGCTGACCAACTCCCAACCACCAGACAACCACAAGCCAATCATGGCCGGACCTCTTGTCCACACTCGAATGTTAACAACACCTTTGAAACATTTGACTGAAAATACTAGAACACATGTAGCATATATACATTTCAATCATTCATTCATTCATTCATTCATTCATTCATTCATTCATTCATTCATTCATTCATTCATTCATTCATTCATTCATTCAATCAATTCTTTATTAAGATACCAAACATTACAGACAAACATGACATACAATGTTGCCTGAATGGCGTTGATATTTGACATTTGTTTGTTTATTTGAGTTTACCACCAGATTTACAAGTGGAAGGGAGGACAAAACAGGTGCATTGACTTCTTTACAAATTGTCATCCTTGGTTTGATTGAAAGAAACATTTAGAAACATATTTCACAACAGTTGAACCGTCGTACATGTTGTACTTGATTGTTGTGTCCACAGATTTGCATACCAGGACTGAGAACGACTGTCATCAGAGCTATGACTGGGCGGGACGTTTGAGATGGGTTTGCAGGTCAGTATCTATCTGGTCTTGGCATTTTTTTTAACGGTGTCGCTCAATGCAAGGCCATTTTTGGCCACTTCTAGGCATAGAGCTAGAGGTATAGAACTGTAACAGCAACTCTTCTCCCTGAGTCAGAAACATCATGATTGACACGGCGGTCTGTTGCTAGGCTAAAAGTCGCATTACTAGGGAGGTATCGGGTTACAGAACGCGTTCGAACGTGGCCGCGCGGGAGTCCCGGGCCGGCCCGGGGGTAACGGGTAAAACTTGAAAATAAACAAAAGTAATTGGAGGGTAAACACTCGTCAAAATAAAATGTAACAAGTGATTTTGTTTACCTCAAATGTTATTCTTCCACTGTCTTTGCTCCACTTTGTGTACATTTGCTTCCAAATGAGATAAATTTTGGATTTCAAAAACGGTTCACGAGAACCAAACAACTGATTTTAAGGGGCCCCGAATATCAAAAATAAGGTTTTATTTTTTTATTTTTAGAAATATTACAGTAAAGGTAAACTTTCTGTCTTAGGATTTTTTAAATCTTTAACTAAAACTCGAATTACAGCCAAAAAAAGAGCTAAAAACGCAGTTTTTCAACTTAAAATACCGATAATTCATAATCGCGGCCATATTTAAAAAATCCCTAAGACAGAAATCTGCGGAAATCGTTGCTCTTCCAAACAAGATCTCAATGAGGTAATTTGAACGATTTTTGGGAGTGGTTAAAATACCATGTTTGCACGCGTGCTATGACACTTGGATATGGGGACCTGGATTTTATAACAGCGTAAACAAGAATTCTGACCTTCAAGGTCACCCACGATGACGGCAGTAGCTTCGTACATGTTACATCATGAGACCAGCCCAATTTCTCACAAGTAGTGAGGACTAACTGACCCAATAGGAGAAGCAGGGGTTACGAGGCCGGTCGGGAAAATTCCCTACCCCTTTTTTTTAGACCATAATGGTTTGTTCCACTTCCCATCCGATAAGACGCCCCTTACCGAAGCTAGGTACTCATACAATACAGCGAAAAAGTGACCTTGTATTCACGAGTTTTCCATCATCCCCCCCAGAATTCATTGCAAAAACAGGGGTCTAAACCTTATTTGCATAGGACAGGAAGGCATCGGAATGATCCTGTTGACGTTAAACAGCTTGCTTTTCACTTAGAATGTTTTGAGGTGTCGTGGTATTTCATGCTCAACATTAATTAAATTACTATGGGTTGAATCTGTAAACAAATAGAGAATGAATTTTTTGGAACATGTGGTTTGTAACGTTATAGTGGTAAGGCTATACTGATGCTGTAACGTGACAACCCAAATGTTCCATGTTGAAAGGAAAACAAAAACTTCATTCACTATTTGTTGTCATATTCATAATTTGATTAATGTTGAGCATAAAATGCCCCAACACCTCAAAACACAGTGAAAATCAAACTGTTTAACGTCACCAAGATAATTCCGATGCCTTCATGTCCGATACTAATGAGGTTTAGACCCCTGAGAAATCTGAAAAAGAATGTTTGTATGATGTAACTATGTCGAGAACATCACAATACCCTCTATACACCACCTTCCTCTGGACAATTAAAGCACAGATCAGCACACGTGACGTCATAATCTTGAACAGATGCCTGTGCGGCCGCCTGGCGGGACCCGGGCAGTGAGGTTACGGCGTCGCTTCGGCGTAACTTGCCCGACGGGGCCTGAAGTGATTTTAAGTTTGAGTTAAAATCAATTCGGCGACGGCGCGGGGCCCAAACTAGGTCGGCAGCCGTCTGGAACCCCACCAGTATCCGTCCAGGTCCCGTTCGGTAGGGAAAAAAAAACAGGCCAAAAACGCGCCGAGCGGGCCCCTTTCTTGAATTGTGATCTAGGCTTAAATGTGCTCTTCCCTGTCTCACCCTTGGTCATAGAAGAACTTTATTGCACGACAATCGTACAGGGTACAATGTATGGTGATGACTATTGAACAGTACACAAACAGAAAATGCTACATGAGTGTCTTTTGTTTTTCTTTTAGTGACAAGGAGCTCCAGGAGGAAATGAATTCGTTCTGGGATCGGTTTTCCGGACGTCGGTAACTGCGACACCCTTCATAAGAAAATAACAAGACTGGCAATGAAAACATACATTGCCATGGCGACGGTGGTTGCTATTAGGGTTATTGTTTGCATGGCACTGCCATCATTTCATGATTTTGAGGAAGAGTTCCTGTTAAGTCTAGACAGATACAGTACACTCCTCCCCTGAGTGTATAGTGAACGAGCCGCGGGGTCACAGAAAATAGGGCATCCGGCCGGGAAGAGAGGGGGTTTTCCCAAGTGGACATTCCATTCCTGTGGACAAAATGCCTGTACCATTCCTAGAATTCTTGCAAACTGCACACAATACTGTACCATTAGGCTCCTCTCTGAGACGTCGCCAAAAACAACACCGAAGTAGCATGGACTTCAAACCAGAGGTTAAAAACGACAATTAATGACACTTCTGCCCTCCAGTGGTATTATAATAACATCCTTTAAGTTTTACATATATTTTCTCATTTTGTATGATTTACAGTTTGGTAGAAAAGTTTTATTTTTGGAAACGGACTAAAATTCATGCGCGTGTGGATGTTATCTATATAATGAAATATCTAAATATCTAAAACTTGGAAATCTATGTTTTTCTAATTGCTGTATAATGCACAGTCAACAGCAAAATGACACTGGACCTCTATATATTACCGACGCCTGTATTGGGCCATGAATAATGCCCCTTGTTAGTATGTTAATCTAATGACGGAAATGCCAGTATAAATGCCCTCAATTTGCATGCTTAAAAAGGGCAAGAGGTTGTTCGCATATGTAATTATGTTTCCAGATGTTTCAAAAAGGGAGAAGAAAGGGCAACTAACAGTAGATGATAGGTAGTATAAAGTATTGTTGTAATATATATATATACTCATAGCACTTAGCATTAGAATATAGCGTTCCAGTATACAATCCTTTTTTTCTTATCCTCTCGACCACATTTGGTCACATTTGTGCATTTAGCCCATCTGGCCAAGAACATGCAATAAAGGTTCATTGTGTAGAAGACCGTATTAAATAGGTTTCGTAAGAATACAGATGGTCGGTAATTGTGAACTGTACATACATAGTTTGAATATGTGGAAAACATTAGCTAATATACTTCAAAGTTAACGCAATATAACAAATATCGATGTATCAAATAGTTGAACTTATGAAAAAAGTGTATATAGTAGCAACTTTGTAACATGAGATATATAGTGTGAATATTTGCCATTATCACGTATATACTTATGCAAGTATAATGTCCTTGACTATATTATAAGGTTAATGCATGCATCCCAAAACGGGCGTATATAAGATTCTATTCTTTAAAACGCAGCCTCTTCTGGGCCTTGGAAGCGGCTGAAAATGATGAAATTGTGTGGTGCGGTAAACGTACTATTTAACCAACTCCGCCGGTAAGTTACATGTATCTGTCCATTTGGCCAGTTTCTACTCTTTCCAGCCGTTTCTGAAGCCTAGTAGACGCCACATAACCTGATAGGAAGGAGAATTCAAGCCCAATTTTTTTTATTTGATATGATAGTTTTATTTTGCTTCCAAAATAAAGTACCTGTACATTTTAAAATGCGGGAAAGATTCAGAACAATTTCATGCGTCATTCCTTATTTTGTACAATTGCACATTTCCGCTGCGTGTTTTGGTGGTACTTGAGTCATCATAGCGATTTTCCGGGTAATTTACGATTGCTCATCAGTGCTTAGTCACCCGAGGAGGCTTATTTAAATCTTTGCCCGGGCTACCCCAAACCAGAACGCCTGGTCCTGTATGTTGGGTGCGCGAATGAAGTGCTAGCTTTCTTCAGGCAACCTGAGTCGAACGCCATTTAGGAGTCCACGAACAACCGTCACGGAGCAAGTATACAATATTTCCTCTACCAGCAAAGACAGACAGCAAACTTACTAAGGTAAGTGGGCTTTTTTTTGTCCATACACATGTCTTTTCTATAACATTTACTAGATTGTTTGTTTCACAGTGAAGATGTAATCTTCTTTGTGCCAGCATTTTTCGGTGACCCCCTGACAATTTGGGTCGAATATTGTATCATGTACATGTAACGGTTAACTACATGTAACTAACGGTCACATTTGTATATGTAGTTTGATAGGCGTCTAACGGGAGCAAGACATTTGTTAGGACTAGCCTCTTTTTCAGGCGTTCCCGGATCTTTCGTTGTTTTTTTTTTGGAGGGGGGGAGGGGGTATTTTCTGATCAAACGTAGATCGCACGCAATAGACGCTCCGGCTGGCAACCCTACATATATGTATATCCACG